GGCAGGCTGACGTGTATTGTGTGTATGCGGCAGGAAACTCGTCTGGTCAGGCCATTCTAGGACAATTAAATCAGACTTTCTGGGTGAGAAGAAGGGAGACCCAGGCATCAGTATTTTCAAAATCTCCCCAGGGGATTTCAATATGCAGTTGAGATTGAGAACCAGTGATCTATAGCTATTTGAAGCTGCAAACTGTATATGTGTTTATGAAACTAAGTCCACAGAGAACAAGATACTCAATCATAACCATGTCAAATGGGTGACAGGATTTAGCATTATCCAAATGAGAACTGTCAGGACAAATAAAAGAAAAAGGCCACCAAGTAAAGGAAGAGAAGAGGAGGACAAAAAAGGGAAGAAGGCACAACAATAAAGAAAGCAAATCTACTCACTCGATTTTCTCTGGAAGATCCGATTTGGTCATGCATGCACAGTTAACCAAAATAGTCACTGTTATAAATAAAGTGAACCATCTGAAGGGCATGTGTCAAGGAAAAGCTGAGAGTCACCACATTTCCTGATGTTCATCTATGATAACCTTGAAAATGAATGCTCTGATTAATAACTCTTAGCTGGTATCCACTTTATGATCTTGTGACATACTGACCACTAACATTTCCTAAGTGCCTACCCTGGGCTGTGGGCTTGATCCACATTACTTCTAATACAACTATTAGATTATTGGTGAGTTTAACTGCTCAACTATGTATTATTATCTATATGTTGGAGCTGAGAAAACAGGTTGACAAAGCTTAAATATAACTTTTCTGAGGTCACACAAGTAGTCAACTGTGATGCTGAGATAAGAACTCAGACCGTTTGCCAACAGAAGCCCAGGAAAGATGGAAAGAAATAGAATTCCTTTTCCAAAATATCCTTCTGCACTGATGCTTTTATCTTACTGCACAATAGGACCTGAAATTTCATCTAGGAAATACCTTTTCATCCTGATAGACAGAGTCTTCCTAGGAAGTTACAGATAAGGCAAGGGGGAAGCTTTCATAGGAATTAGTTTAATAAGATTTTTTTCCTGACTTGGCTAAGATCAGGTACACTGAAGATGGGCTTTTGCATAGGAATGGTAGAGCAGGCACAGGAAATGAGATGCCAGCTCAAGGAGAATACTCCAAATAGGATTTGATTGTTCTGGGGAACACTGAATGTCCAGAGAGGACAATCTCAGGAGCAGGGGACAGACAAAGGGATTACCAGAAGGAGAAGGAGATATTGAAAAAGGAAGCGAGTGGAAGGAGGTAAACAAATGTGAAGAAATTTTGGTAGGGAAAATCCAAAGATAAACCTGGACATTTTTCTGACGATTTAGCTGAGTTCTTAATTACTTCCTAAAGAAAAACAAAGTCTGAAGATAAATTTGACCTATAGAGAGAGCACAGTACTCATCTTTCATAATTTCAATTTGAGCAGAAGTATTTTAAATCTGTTTTAGTTTCCTGTAAATGCCTTTGCTGTGATCTTGCTGTATAGTTACTTAAGAACATGTCTATTTTGAAAAAGGACATTGTACTTAATTAAGCCACATTTTCCTGTTGACTTACAATTAAATTAAGAAATGCGTTCACATAGGGGACAGTGTTAACCCAAAGATTAAATTAAAATCACATGTCCAATGCCACAAACCTTTGCAATTAATATGCTATATTATGTGTGATGCTACTTATGAAAACAACTATAGCAAATGTGATAAGAACGATAATTTTTGATGAAATAGGCATAATGGGGCCCTGAGAATTCTATATCTTGAAGAATATGCTTTTGGGCTGGAGCTACCAAGTTCATGAGATTTGAATATATAAATGCTGATTTTCTATTCAGCTGTGACTCTACTAAGCAATTATTTACTCATCAAATCTCAAGATGAAAAGAAAATTCACTGGTCAATTAGTTCTCTAAAGGAATTTTATTTCTAATTAGCTGTTATATATATACACATATATTTAAAAAATTCAACCAGATCTAGGGAGAGGATTTTGTATGTTTGCCATTTCTCTTTATTTATAAATTTTCATGTAACTGCATACACACACACACACACACATATACATATATATATACACATACACACACACACACACACATACATATAAACCAAAAACCAAATGCTCTGCTGTCAAGTCAGATCCAACTCATAGTGACCCCTCCTTGGGTTTCCAAGGCGGTATCACTATGGAAGTAGATTGACCAACCTTCCTTCCAAGAAGTGGCTGGTGGGTTTGAACCACCAGCCTTCTGGTTAGCAGTCAAATGCCTTAGGCACTACACCACCATATATACAT